AAAATGACCTACATGTTTTTTAAAACTGTCTCTTTAGGGCAGCTAGGTGGGGAAGTGGATAGAGCACTGGCCCTGAAGTCAGGAGGACCTGGGTTCAAATCCAGTCTCAGACCAAACACTTGACAGTTACTAGCTGTGTGACCCTGGGCAAGTCACTTAACCCCAATTGCCAAAAAAAAAAAAGTAAAAATATCTCTTCTTTTGGAAATATGTGAAACGAAGAGAGAGTCTTTTGCAGAAAACTTTCTATGGCAGACCACATCTTCATAGTCATAAAACTACCTAAAAGGTATAGGTAAGATTCCAATGTGTTTACTATTTCCCCCCAAAATTGATTCTGTTCTAACAAGTTGCCCCCATGCACATGTTGAGATTATACAAGATTCATCAATAGATCAAACCATAGAAATAACTTGTCAATGATCTGATTGTTGGCATTAAGGACGGGATAAAACAATGATATATTCTTCTTCTTCTCCTTTTTTTTTTTTTTGGCGAGGCAATTGGGGTTAAGTGACTTGCCCAGGGTTACACAGCTAAGCGAGTATTGTGTGTCTGAGGATATATTCTTAATAAAGGTATTCACTACTCTCTTGAATGGTCTATTACAGAGGGCAAAGTTGTTTCCCATAGATTGTGGGGTTCTCTAGTGGTCTCTTTCTGTGGATGACACTGTGGTGACTGTATCAATCTGGAGTATACTGAACATTGTCCTAAATTTCAGGAGCAATTGTTACATGGGTGGAAGGAACTCTTATAACAGTTTTAGAGATCATTTCTCTTCTTTCGTGAATCTTGCCTCACCAGGCCTAGACCATTTCCATTGTACTGGAAGGCCACTGTATTTTCTAGAGTATGTATCATGCTGCATCATATGCATTTGAAAGCATAGAAGAAGCTCTTTAAATAACACTAGGGCAGAGCACTTCAACTGAATAAATCACATGTTGAGGTTCCCCTGACATTTTAAAAGTAGGTAGTAGGAGAAATAAGCATTTAAGATACATTAAAAAGTCCACAATGATTCCTGTCACTCTCTGTCTGCTAATTAAGAAGTGAAAAAAGTGACAGTGGAAAGAAAAACCTGAAAAAACCTGAAAAAAAAAGCCCTGAAGATTGTCAGGGTAAGTAGAAGAGAATTGGGCTGGAGCCAGTGACTTCACACATCCTATGTGTGCAGGCAGATGTGATGGGTCACATGGAGGTGTCTGGATAGTTTTGGTCAGTTGGGATGCTTAAGCTGCTATCCAAGGGATTTGGCTCAAAGACTATTAGAACCCAGCTGGGGGGTGCCAATAAGTCTGTAATAATCCAGAAATTAGCACCCAGAGGGATGCTAAGTCCTGCCTAAAGCCATAAACTGTTACTGTGGTCATCTGGGTAAGTGATACAGTATTGGGATTAGAATTATTCCTTTGGGAGAGCCAACTTAATAGCTTATTTTCATTATTTGATCTCTGGCTGAGTTTATAGACTTCAAGAGTACGTCGAAGGTATTTTAGAATTCCTCATAAAAAACCAGAATGTTACTATTAGAGGGCTGGTTAGTGAATACCTAGAAAAAGAGGTTGTGATGACAAAGAACCAGCAAGGCTCCATAACTCCTGGCAGACTGGCCTCCTTTCATTTTCTGATAGCGTCATTCAACTTGTAGATAAAGGGATATTATGGAAATACTTCACCTAGGTTTTAGCAAAGCATTTGACAAAGTCTCTCACTATTCTTGGGGAAAAGGTGGAGACTGGAAGACGGTACAGTTGGGTGGATTTGGGACTGGAAGGATGGTCAGATCCAAAGGATAGTCATTAATGGCTTGAAGGTACCTTAAAGGTTCATAGTGTAGGTCTTTAGGTATCTGTTGTTTAATATTTTTGTTAATAACTTGGATAAAGGCATATTTGGGAAAGGGAAAGGAAAGGGAATAAGCATTTATTAAGCTCCTGTTATGTGCCAGGCACTATGATAAACATTTTAAAACAACATTATCTCATTTAATCCTCACGATAAACCTGGGAGGTAGGTGCTATTATTATCTCCACTTACAACTGAGGAAGTTGAGGCAGACAGAGGTTAAATGACTTGTCCAGAGTCACACAGCTAGTAAGTGTCTAAGGTCAGATTTGAACTCAGGTCTTCCTAACTCTAGGTCAAACACTCAAACCACTGTGCAACTTAGCTGCCTCTTAGATAAACAGCATTTCTATAGTAGGGTGTTTTGTGCTAGGTGGTGTAGTAAATAGAGAATCTGGCTGGAGTCAGGAACACTCGTTTTCCTGAGTTGAAATCTGGCCTCAGACACTTACTAGCTATGTGACCCTGGGCAAGTAACTCAACCCTGTTTGTGCCTCAGTTTCCTCATCAGTAAAATGAGCTAGAGCAGGAAATGGCAAACCACTCTAGTATCTTTGCCAAGAAAATCTCAAATGGGATCACAAAGAGTCAGATATGACTGCAAACAACTCAATAACATTTTAAGAAGGAAATTGACAAGCTAATATGTGCAACAAGCTGATAACTGGGATGGTAAAGAGACTTGAGTCCATGTCGTATGAGGATCATTGGAAGGGAACGGACATGTTTAGTCTAGAGAAAAGAATACTTAGGTTGGGCATAATTGTTATCTTCAAGTAAAACAAGGACAGCTAGGTGGTGCAGTGGATAGAGTGTCGGGCCTGGAGGCAGGGAGATCTGAGTTCAACTCTGACCTCAAACACTTACTAGCTGTGTGACTCTGGGCAAGTCATTTACCCTCCGTTTGCTTTAGTTTCTTCAACTATAAAATGGAGATAATAATAGCGCCTACCTCACAGGGATGTTGTGTTAGGATCAAATGAGTTAATATTTGTAAAGCACTTGGAACACAGTAGGAGCTATATAAACACTAGCTATTATTAGCTATTAAATATCTGAAATATATGGAAGTATGGAAATATGAAATATCATGTGGAAGAAGGCTTAGACACGACTAGAATAAATTGGTAGAAGCTCTGCCCTATGTCTTCTTTCCTTTCCTTTACTTTTTTTTTCATGCTCTCAGTCATATCATCTGTTCTCATAGTTAAGCCGGTGACTCTCAGATTTACAGGCTCACCCCACTTCTCTCCTTAACCTCCCAACCACTTTGTCCATTGCCTGGTGGCTATTTCTACTTCACTTCCTAAAGACATTTTACACTTAACACATCCAAAGCAGAACTCATCTTTATTCCACTTCTCCTTATAACCCTCCTATTTCTGTTGAGGACCCTATCATCCTTCCAGTCACCTTGGAGTCATCTGTAACGAGTTATACTTCCTTACCCTCTCGTTAAGACCACCACTTCCCAGAACATGTCTGTTCTATCTGGACAACATTTCCCAATCTGTTCCCTTCTCTCCATTCATGTTGGCTATCATCACCCTGGTTTAGGCCCTTATCACTTCTCATAAGGCTTATTGTAATAGCCTTCCAATTGGTCTCCCTGTCTCTATTCCTTCCCCCTTTCTAATTCATCATCCACAGAGCTGTCAAAATGCTGTTTCTAAAATACAAGTCAGGCCAAGTCAGTCACTTGCTCAGGAAGTTCTAGGAACTCCCTATTGCCTCTAAGATTAAACAAACAGACAAACAAACAACCCCCCTCCCCCCATCAAATTCCTCTGTTTGACATTTAAAGCCTTTTATGATCTGACTCCAATCTATCTTTCCAAACTTATTTCGTACTTCTCCCTGTCATGCACTCTTAGGCTTAGAAAAGGTGGTCTGCATGATGTTCCTCACATATATTATCTCATCTCCCACCTCTGGGCCTGATACACACTCCTTCCTTACCTCAACTTCATGGAATCACTAGCTCTGTTTTAAACTCAGGTCATTCCTGATCTTCCTAGCCATTAGTGTCTCCTCTCAGATCAAAATTACTTGGTATTTATTTCATATATATTTAGCATTTACTTGTCTTTGTACATTTCATTCCACACTGTTCACTCCCCCCCTCCCCCATTAGAACGCAAATTCCTAAGAGTCACGGACTGTTTTATTTTTGTATGCCTAGTGACCAGCACAGTGCTTGGGACATAGAGGGCATTTAATAAATGTGTGTCACATTAGGCTTGATGAAAGTTAAAAAAAAACACCAAGAAACTTCCTTGTGGATGTATTGATAAAATACCAAGTTTTCTTCAGTGTGAAAAATATTTACATCTGGTGCAGTGGAAAAGACATGTCCCTTGCCTGGTCATCTCTTAGTTTCTTGATACTTTGATTAGAACACAGACTGATAGAATGGACTGGGTTCAAGTCACTGATTTGGTAGACTGCTAAGAGTATGAAGATAACTTTTATAGTTTGATTTATGATTCAATCAGCCACCTTGAAATGAAATTTAAGTTAGTAGCATTTTTCAAATGAGCATTTCTTCTGTAATTTTAACAGATTTCAAAGAAATGTGGTACATATGTCAAACCCACAGAGACTAAAATAGATAAATGTTTTAGAAGAACAAATAGATCAATAACTATCCTCATTGAGGTCCACAGCTCACAAGAACTGCTAATAGTGAGGATAAAAATGGTAATGGTACTCTGAATTTGTAGAACATCACTCTTTCGAAGAATTCAAAGTGGGTTTACATCTATTATCTCATTCATTAGAACAGTTTTAGTCCTACTAGTTTTATTTTGTAGATGATGGTATTGGTCTCTTGACTTCTTCTGTACAGAATCTACACTGTGCTTATGGACCCACCAACTTAAATCAGAATATTTCAAACCCAGGTTCAAAGAGTATCTTTTCAGAAAAGCAAGGTATTGCTTACCTTCGTGATGGGGGAATCCAATTTGGACACGCTAGTCTTAGAAAACCACATTGTTGAGCACATTTTCAGATTAATCAAATAATTCTTTAATAGACTACTAGATTCTATTGAAAATCAAACTAAATGCAATCATGGGCTATCCCAGAGCATGTTTTCCTGATAAGAAAATGAGCAATTGTCCAGTTGTTAATGCTCAGTACATTACCTGGACTTTATTCATCTCCAGTTTGTTCTTCTCATTAGCCCCCTGGTCTGTTTTCCCAGCTCCCTTTTTCTGAGGGCCTCTCCCAAAGAATATGTAATTTACAAAGGCGTATTCAAGCAGTGCCAGGAACACAAACACAAAGCAGCCCATCAGGTAAATATCAATTGCTTTGACATAGGGGATCTTTGGCAGGGTCTCCCTGAGGTGAGTGCTGATGGTGGTCATGGTCAGCACGGTGGTGATTCCTGCAAAACAAAAAGGCCAAACTTGACTTACAGCAGCTTTGAGAAGAAGTTATTTTGGGTAGAGAGGGTTGACCATTCCATTCTATGGCTATTCTCCTGGAATAATGGCTTTAGGATGGTCAGCCATTTGGTAGGGAAGATTTTTTTTTATCAGCAGGTTGCAGCCTGCAAAGAGATCTCCTTCAGGATGCCTAAAAATATTAATTGATATTTGTGGTATGCTGATAAGATATTTCCTATTGAGCAAGGTACAAAGAAAAACAAATCACAGATTAAAATACTGTTTGATGCATGAGACAATAGGTGACAGATCCTTCATTCATATTTTCTGAACTTTTTCTTTACCATTGTCTAGTCTCCTCTCCATTCATTGACCCCTCCCAGAGCACTGAAGGAAACCATTCTGTACATTGCCTGTAGATTGGTAAGCATTCTATGGTTATAGTCCATGAATTTAAAATATATAAAACTGTAATGTAATTCAATGTAATTTGTTTCCTTTGTAATCTTATGTATTTTATTTTATACATTTAAAAACAGTATTCTGAGAACACGTCTATAGGCTTTGTTGTTTGTCTTTCCTTTTCAAAGAGGACTAATGACATCGAAGGGTGATGTCTTGACTTGTGCATGAATTGGATTTAAATGAGGCAGAGTTTCACAAAGTTGTCATCTAAGTCCAGTGGAAAGACAAAACTCAAGATTTTACCAGATTGTCAAAGATGAGGTCCATGACACACACAAAAATATCAAGAATCTCTCTTTTAAGGACAGTAATATGATTTCCCATAGGCCAATAGAGCAGCTTGTTTCAACAAATTCAGCATTAGATAGTAATGTAACACCATTGCTATTATTTTGGAGAAAACCCAATAATTTGCACAAAGTCATTGGTTTTAGAATTATTTTCTGAATATGTAATATTTTGTTGGTGGCATTTCTCAATCTCATCTCTGACCACTTCCCTCTAGAGCCTAACACAGAGGCACATAAACACCTTCTGAAAGAACTGAGTTTGAGGTGAGGTATCTTAGGACTGTAAACCTCTTACAGGTCAGGAACAAGGCCTATTTAACTTATCTTTTAAATATGGTCCTACTCTAAATCATACATGGTTCATGTGGGTGCAGATTGATATTCTGTATTGATCAGAAGAATCAAGAAGTCACAGTGGAGAAGGAATTGGAACTCTAGACTGATTAGGCTGTGATAGCGGGGCACAAGATATCACAAAGGTTATATGTAAGAGAAAAGAAATTAAAGATATATATAAAACGAATGGAGGCAGAAAAATGAGAAAGATGAAAAACTTCATGGAGGATGTCACAAGTAAGAGCAGGAGGCCAGAAAACTTAAATACAGAGGAAGGTTGGTTTTAAAAGAATGCAAGAAGACAGTAATGTGAATTAGGAAAGAAAAAGATTGTTCTGGCCTTCTCTTTCCTAGAGGCAAGAAGATAACTATGATTTGGTCAACACAAACTTATTAGAGCAGAAAAAAGTAAAAAAAAAAGTAAAATGATACAGATGAGAAATGGTTTTGAATATGATGGACTGAGAAGTGCATATGAAGTATTTTCCAACTTAGTGTGCTTGTTTCTTTGAAGAGAATAACTCCTCACAATACGTGTGTACATATATGTCATGGCTAAAGAGCAAACAAAGGATAATGTTCATAAGAAGAAAGACTATTTTTTTTTTTTGCTTTTTGGTGAGGCGATTGGGGTTAGGTGACTTGCCCAGAGTCACACAGCTAGTAATTGTCAATGTGTCTGAGGCCAGATTTGAACTCAGGTCAGAGCTCTATCTGCTGCATCACCTAGCTGCTCCTAGAAAGAATAATTTTTATTAAAAATGTATTGTATTTCTGTTTTCACATCTATTCCTAAGGCTAATTTTTCATTTGTTTAAGTATGAAGCTCTAACTTATTTGTGGCTACAGAGAGCAGAAGCAAATGCAAAAGGGTTTTACGTTACCACAAGTTATTTAAATTTCAAAAATTTTGTATCTGATTCCAGAAAGTCAGTCTCAGTTTGTGCTTCTTGCTACTGAGACCTCTAATCATGAAACTCCACTTAAACTAATTAGCCTGGATAACAGAAATGTAGACAAAATTATAATTTATGTCTCTACTAACTTTTTTTTTCCTGTTGTGTACATTAGCCAGTAATGGGTCTGTAACTATAACATATACACATACGCATACATACACATTTAAAATATAAGTATATATACGCATGATATGGAAAATTATTTGCATACGTTCCTTACTCCTGATGTGTTCAATGCTTGTATAAGGTGCTGCTACTACTTGACCTTATAAGCTTGATGTACTCAGCCAACAAGCTGTAGAGATGACACATAGTCTAAATATGAAAGGATGCTCTTGTTGTCTAATATTATCCAGTAGCTTCAAAGGAAATTTTATATTCTAGCCTATTCAAAGAATTGGTACTCTATTGGTACATGTAGATGAATTACTAAGTGTGATAAGTTAAGTTGAGCCCAATATAAAATAGCCAAGAAGACCCATGGATGCCAAAGTAGGCCAAACCCACCACTGATTTACTTACTTACACCACTTACTTCCTTGGGAAGTAAGAAAAGAAGATATCTTCTTTTCTTACTTCCCAAGTAATCATTTAAACTTTGAAGTATGGCTTCTTTGCCCTGTGACCCAGTAACTACTCAGCTATACTATGATTAATGCCTGATTTTGTTCCCCAAGAAGGAAACCATTTTCTACTCATTTCTAATCACAGATCATTAATGTATTTGATGAATAGCCCTTGTCTTATCCTGGCATAATGAGCTCCACTTAAAGGAAATGGGAGTCAGTAGAATTTACTCTGGTTAAAGTTCCAGAAGATTATTTTTCAAACTACCAAAATGGGTGTCTTGAAATATTATTTTCTAATTCTGAATTGGTAAGAGTTTTTTCCCCTCAGATTATTTTGAGAACGAAGCCAGGTAAATGCTCTCCAATATGGCAAGTAGGAATAAAAATGAGACAGCATGTTTAAAAAAATAGACATTCTCTCAGAATCTGTATATAAATAATTGTTTAAAGTCTTCAAAAAGCTAATTTGTGTGTGATATTTCAGAAAATTATTTTGACTTAGAAGCATTTGACTGTGGTCTAGTCAGTGTACTATCTAGTATGTTTTCATGATTAGCTGTGCAATTTTAATTATTTGGAAAGTCTTTACAGTAAGAAAATTGGGTGCTTATACTTGCTGCAATAGGTTGGTTGGTTTGAACTCAGAACACATTAGCATTTTGCTAGTTTGAAAACACATTACCTAGTGCAACTCTGGCTGCAGATGCATCGTAGTTGATCCAAAAAGATACCCAGGACAGAATTGTAATCAGCGTTGAAGGCATGTAAGTTTGCAAAATGAAGTAACCAATGTTTCTTTTAAGCCGAAAACTCAGTGACAACCGTGGATATGCCCCTGGGTTTAAAAGAAAGAGAATCAGATTATGAACAGTCTTGGGTCATGTTCTCCCTTCTCATGACTCCTCTCCTCTTCCACTGTTTTTGCATTTGTTTGGTAGTGATGTTCTTACCTGTTGTGAATTCCACCTTCTTTGACACCATCTTGTAATCCACAATTGAAAACTGAGGCAGTTCAATATTGTTAACCCCTGATACTGCACTTTCTCCTCCATTCCAGTAAAATTCAATGTCATCAGTGGTGTAACCATCTGAAACAAGAAACACAAAATTATCATCTAGAATAAATTCCAGGTTTCTTAAAGCCATGCGTTGAGAAAAAAACTCTTGAAACTGGAACTATTCCCAGGTGGCAACTGGTAAAGAAGCTACACTCAAGATGCTGACTATTAATGGAGACCCTTTGGTTGGAGAGATTTGATTCCTGATAACTGTGGGGTGCCAGGGATTAGATTTCAGACTGTCTCTCCTTTGCCTTCCTGCCTTTGGCTTTAAATCATGGAAAGGAGAGAAAAAGAGAAAGGATGAAATAAAACAAATGACCAGGTTTTTTTTTTTTTAATTTCTATTTCAGAATCAAGACATTAATACTGAATTACTAGCTTCTTTGTTCTAGGAGGAGGGAAGAGAAGGTTAATTTCTGTTTAGATCCAGTTTTAATATATCTTAAGATATGGATGAAAATTTTATGAACTATGAATTCCTTAGACACTTTCATATCCTAATCATTTAGGTATCATTCAATAAGGAAATAGTTACATTAAGATTTTTTTAAAAAGGATTGCTCTTAGGTCTTCAACTCAGGAGGCCCATCAATCAATCTTCTTTCTTAGGTTTAAGTGTGGATAGCTCTTTCCCTTCTTATTCTCCCATTGATGATGTAAGTATATGGTGAACATAGTCCAATTCAATAAACACCAAATACCTATGATGTACAGCAGATATGATAGTAACTCATTAAAACAATGATGAGTATATTTAAAATGTAATATAAACATTTAAACATTGGAGGTTAACTAGGGGAATTTGTTAATCAACTTGATGAATTATAGTGTAGTAAGTCTGATTTCATCTATCCACAAAGGTTTTGGAAATTCCCATTTGACTCATTTGCAACTTGGTCTGGATCATCTGGGAATACATTTACCGGCTTAGTTTGATACAGAAGGATGGACTATACTCCAAAAGAGGGTTAGTTGCAGAGTTGGCCTCTCTTTACTCCCCCCCTTCACCCTTCCTCCCCTCATCCCCCAGGGAGCCTGAGAGAGAGGCAGGGTTAGGAATAGATCTGAGCAGGGTGAGGAGCTTTCTCCCCCTACTCTCTTCCCTTCAATAATGGCTGCTTTGGGGCAGAGGCACATGGGGTTTTTGCATATTCTTATCCATGTGGACTGACAGACTAGTTGCTGGACACTAAATTCTTGGACACTGAGGACCTGGACCCAACCCTGGAGATGTAGTGAGAGAGACATGAGGTAGTTGCATGTGGTCCCAGGATAGATGAATCAAGAAGTGAGTTTCTCAATCTCAGTCTGTTAGGAAAAAGTAGGGAGTTTCTGGGTAGGGCTAATCTCAGGCTACCCTTCTAGATAATAGGTTCAAGATTTCTGAAATCCAACCTTCTAGAGAGAAAAGAGGAATTCCTAGAAAGTACTTGTTTTAGACTTGCCTTTCTTTAGCAATGCTGAATTCAAAGGCACTGGAGAGACAGGGGAGATATTGAGCAGCACCAGTCTTTTGGAAAACCAATCTCTCTCTCCCTTTCCTCCCTCCTTCCTTCCCTGCCCCCACACAATGCCCTTCCCCTGTCCTCATCCTAACAATAGATAAAGGAGAGGCAAGAGGATGAAGCCACAATAGGGGGAAGTGAAGGATTATTTGGTTAGTGCAGGTCTGATTGTCTTTGTAGTTTGTTTTCCTTCATGAGATAAGGATGTTCAAACCCTCAGTGTAATATTATAAAGTCGGATGTCTATATGGATCTCTGGGTTGAAATAAGAACCCACCAGAATAACGAGTGTTGCCCCTGGAGTAACCTTAAGTTTGTTACCCTTCTTTGGGAAGGTGAATTTGGTGAATTGAACAGACCCTGGGGAAAGATGGTGACTCACTGGAGAAGGCAGGGAAAATCCTATCAATAGTTTATGTGCTACTATGAGTCCTTTTGGTTGTTTTTGTATTTTCTGTTGGGTGGATTAAAAGACTTGCCATCTGCTGTGAGCAGAAGTATGTACGCTGGTATATGTTTAACTTGTTGTCTAAAAATAAGTAAATAAAACATATGTATAACATGTTACATTTTTTCCCCTTATTAATATTTTCTTCATCACTTTCTTGAGTTTAGTCAATCAATAAAACAATAGATCAAGCCCCAATTTGTCCCATTTGGCAATTTTTGAGGTATAAGTGCTCATCCTGAATATTTAGCTATCAGCTAGTGGTTTAGTTGGCTCCAGCACAACCTTGGCTGTGAGTCATGGAACACTGTTGTCTCTGAAGAATTGAAATTGAGGCTCACCCAAAAGCAGTGTGGATAGGTGCCTGGTGGATCTGAGACAGCTGCAACATATTGCTAATAAGGAATTTTGAAGAAGTAGATTAATGTATATCATAATAGAAATATATGGGCAAAAATAGCTAAATAGAAGTATGTATAGAATGCTTTTACATACACACACACACACACATTTGTATCTAATGGCAGCCATGGGGGCAGGTGAGGGAAGAAAAAAGGAAAAAAAAAAGAAAGTTACATGATAACTTTATTATATATTTAAGAGTAATAGTGAGTTGTACATAATAGATGTGCAATCATCTTTTCCCCCATATTCTACTATGTAATGGAAATGTTTTTTTATTTCTTAAGTTCAGAATAAAATAAATAGAATTTGAAAAAAAGAAGTTAGATCTACTTAAGCAGGACCTGTGACACAAGCCTTCTATGGAGGATTTAGGTCTCTTGGTTTGGATGAAGCCAAGGGAGAGGTGATTAGATGAAGGGGAATTGAGTTGAACTCCCCTTCCTTGGATGTTTCTGAAATGCAGAATGAGAGAAGAACTTTTTTTCAGGAACATGGTTACATGGTAGGCAGATATCCAATGGACAACTAGTGACAGACAGTGTTGTTGGTAATGATTCTAAGGAGTAGAAAGGAGGAGAGAGGAATCCTATGAATAGGAGTTCATTTATTGTATTTGTATCCCTTGTGCCTACCACAGGGCCTAGCTCAAAGGAGCTAAATAAATGCTTGCTAATTGATTGGTTTATAAAAATTCACTGAACTTTCCAAGTCTCTTAATAAAAGAATATTTAAGTGAAATAAAGCTGAACAGCACAGTCAAATAGACATGTCCTCCTATCACTCCCCATCCCCCTATGCCCTCCATTTTTCTGGAAGAGGCTATTTCACATGCAAAGACAGAGACTCACAGGTATTTCTCCCTCCCCTCTTTTGCTGGTAGTTTGCCTATCAACCTTACTTTGTTCTAATCTATAATGTTGTTTCTTCATGGCTCCCTTCCTCAAAGTCCCACCTTCTTGACCTGAGTCCTTGACCTCACTTTCTGTTTGCTGCCTATCTCGTAACTTCTGATTCTATCCTGTTAAATGAATCCTTGTTGCTGCATCACATGATGCCTTTGCCAGGGTGGTGATGCTGGTGGAAATCTTCATCCAGAATTGCATGCTAAGTAAAGTTAACTTGACCACAATGGCTCTCTCTCCTGACAATATTCGAAAGTGAGAGACACAATTGGGTTCCGTGTATTATGTCAACTCAAATAGCTGCTGGTAGCTTAAAGACTAATTCTAGGCTTGCTATGTAAGTAAGGCAGTGAGCTATAAATTCAGATTGTTTTGGGAGAGAGAGAAGAGTTCAAACCTTAGGGGATAGAGCAGGCAATGCTGAGACTTAAGAGGCAATGGTGGTCTACAGCTGGGGCTAATATAAGGATGGGAGTGAGTGGACAATGAACTCACACCTCTTTGTCACTCCTGAACACAGAACTCAACTCCACACTTAACATCTATTATGTGAAGAGCGTTGTGCAAGGCACTGGGCGAAATACAAAGGTTAAATAAAACACAGTTCTTACTCTCATGGAGCTTACAATCCAGTAGGGGAGGTTTGTCACATAAAAACTTTGGTCCAGGCCTGTCATTTTATTGGTATGAGGGAATATCCACTGTGGACATTCGTCCCATGCATAGAGATGAGTGACTTTTCTGTAACTTAGGATCATAGCATGATCGATTTAGAGCTAGAAGTCATGGAAGAGGTTTAATCCAACCTCCCAATTTTACAGATGAGAAAATCAAGGCTTTGAAAAGTTAAATAACTTGCTCATGTTCATACAAGTAGTAAGAGGTAGTGTTAGGATTCAAAACAACATCCTCTAACTCAAAGCCCAGTAGTCCTAGAGATTTGCTTGGGACTCTGAGAGATTAACTGACCTGCTGCTGATCGCATAGCTAATGTGTATCAGAGGAAGGACTCAAAATCAGGTCTTCATGACTCCAGCCAGTCCTCTCTCCATTATACTACATTGTTGCTCATGACTAATGCACAGTAATACATGTTTAAGGGTGGTACACACAAAGTACTAAGATCTGTGTTTGATTAAAGTATAGAGAATAAGGTGGAAAGTCATGTAAGGTAGAGCTGAAAAGGTAAGATGGTAGCAGATGGCAAAGAGCCTTGAATGCCAGGCAAATGAGTTTGAATATTATTCAGCAGTGTTTTAAGTACCATTGTGACATGATCAGAGATGGATTTAAGGAAGGCTCATCTGGCAGCAGTTTGAGGACCTGATTAGAAAAGAGAGCAGTAGGAAGGCCTTTTAGGAAGCTATGGCAGCAGTCCCGGAGAGTGGTAATTAAGGCCTATATTACAGTGGTGGCAGGGGCATAGACAGGGAAGGAACACTTCAGTTAAAAGTCTTTTTGTGGCTAGCAATTATTAGAGATTTTAATAGTCTTCAAGTGCTTTTAGAGTCAATGGTCTTGGTCTTTATCTCCAGGCTCATTTATATTTTGCTTAACTAAGAACCATTGGCCCTAATATTTGAGGTGCTGAGATAATTATGCTTGTTTGGATCAAAAGAATACCAACTCAATTTAAGATAGGGTACTAAATTCTCATGTGAATGCTAAGAAAGAATAGAGACTCAGAAACACACTATTATTCAAAGGTTGTAGGGGAATAACTCCTAAGAAAGCTAGCTTCAAATTTACACACACCTAAACAACCTA